CGCTGCTGAAACTGACCAGTGGCTGACTACAGGAAGCCGGAGGCAGAGTTGCTCTGCCCTGGGCTTCCTGGAATCAGCTGCTGATAAGTTTCAGCAGCAGCTGACTTGGGGACGCCTGGGGTTCTTATGTTGAATCTGTATGTAAGTGGAACTGGTGTCCAGATTCAGCCGCTGTTGAAACTGATCAGTTCCAACTTACGTACAGATTCAACTTAAGAACAAACCTACAGTCCCTATCTTGTACGTAACCCAGGGACTGCCTGTGCTAAATTTGGTGGCAGTAACTCTTACTGTTTAGGAGGAGTTCTTGAACAAACGGACTTGCAGACAGACAGACAGACAAGACACACTCTAAAATACATATACATATACACAGGGCTCGACAAATTAGGCAAGCTTTTAGCCTGGCGGGGCCGCGCAGCATATACATAGCGAGAGAGAGCTAGAGCTTTAGAGTTGGAGTATGTATGTGGAGTCAGGCCCTTTTATCTCTAGAACAAAAGACTACAGAATAATGAGATTTATCAAAGTGGACTTTTTTTTCTCTTTAGGTTTCATTGTGGGGGAATAAATGCGACCTCTCTATTTCTGCTAGTGAAGACAACTCTCAGAAAGTCAATTCTCTAGAATTGCTGGATGACTTGAAACATTTTATCTTAGTGGATGATATGGAAAGCATTTGGTCACTGCTTATAAACATCAAGAAAAGAAGAACTCCAAAAGAAGTTACTAGAATTGACATAGTCCTGGATAATGCTGGATTTGAACTTATTACTGATCTGGTACTGGCTGACTTTCTGTTATCATCAAAGTTAGTTACTGAAATCCATTTTCATGGGAAGTGTATTCCTTGGTATGTTTCGGATACTACAAAGCATGATTTTAACTGGACTATTAAACAGCTGCAGTCAGCTAATAATAGATGGATGTCTAAGTGTGGGATCACTTGGGAGGGCAGTATTAGAAAAGGAGTCATGGTTTACCATGATCACATATTCTGGACTCTGCCACACGAATTTTGTAGTATGGCTCAGGTTGCTACTGACTTATACACTGAGCTGCAGAAATCGAATTTAATTATTTTTAAAGGTGATCTGAACTATAGGAAATTAACTGGTGATAGAAAATGGGAGTTTACTGTTCCATTCCACCAAGCCTTGAATAAATTTCATCCTGCACCTCTTTGTAGCTTGAGAACACTAAAATCTGATGTTCAGGTTGGTTTGAAACTTGGACAAGGTGAGCAGCTTGTGACTTCTGAGCCTGACTGGATGATAACTGGGAAATATGGAGTAGTTCAATTTGATATGTCTTTGTGATTCAACTGTGAGCTTGATAGGCTACCTAAGGATAGATTTAATTTGCACTGAAGCTGTGCTTTTTGCTGTTCAGTTTTGGGCTTTTCATTTACCTGTTTACTACTTCTGGCAAGTGGCTTGTTACTGCTGATTTACAGAAGATAAAGTTGTTTTGCAACTGTTTACAAACTTTACTTTTACACCAAGTTATGAAACTGTAGATAGTTTATCATCCAGAATGTCAACAGATATTGCAAATGAACATGGTTTCAGTTGTCCTAAGAATACTTTATTTTTCAATAAGTAAAGAGAATTAATTTTCAGTGTGGGTTACAATTTACTTAAGAACTGATTCCACCTTGGCATGTATTTACTGTTCCAATACTGTTTAGCATTTTCAAGTGGCATATGTTGCATGATCGTTTTTTTTTTTTTTTTTTGAATGCATGAATCTAACTTCTGGGTTTTCTGTATCACTGCAGTAGAGGTCTTATTTTAAACTTGTTTAATTTGTCTCTTACAAAAAGTATTTTATATAAATTGACAAAGTTTTTCTTCTCTTTGGTTAACATGCACAAATTTAATAGCTTTCAAAATGGCAAAAACTAAGTGGGTATAGTCAACAGTGGGTTGAAGAATGATCATTTAGAGTGAGACCATGATCCTGTAAAGAAAACTCAGATGCCCAGCTGGGGCAGAGAAGTAAGACACAGGTAAGTAGTGCCAGCTGTCTGTCATGAGGAAATTACCCCATTTAACAAGGCCAGAATCTGAAATGGGAATAAGAGTCTATCTTTTAAAATATTTATTTATAACTGTGACAGGCCAGAGATGTGGGGTTTTTGTCCACTTAAGAACACATACTCTCACTTTCACAACTAAACTGTGTCTTTGCTGCTGATACCTGTGTGACTGCAATACACAGCTGTTATTTTTGCACTAGTGCAATGAGAGTTAGCACTAGTATGAGTAACTGAGCAGTGAAACCACACTCCTGCCTCATTTTAGATGAATATAATTGAGGAAGCAGATCTCATGGTAAACTCATTTAGGATTTAGCCTTAATCCTTGTAGTAGACATGGCACAAATAGCAATACGTACAGTTAAAATTTCCTTTAATGATATACAGGCAGTCCCCGGGTTACGTACAAGATAGGGACTGTAGGTTTGTTCTTAAGTTGAATCTGTATGTAAGTCGGAACTGGCGTCCAGATTCAGCCGCTGCTGAAACTGATCAGAGGCTGATTCCAGGAAGCCCGGGGCAGGGGCTTCCTGTAGTCAGCCACTGGTCAGTTTCAGCAGTGGCTGGATCGGGGGCGCCTCGGGCACAGCACG